AACTCTTGAGTGTGCGGACGTGTGGACATGCAAATATGTGCTTTTGCCATTCCGTCACTGGCGTCTAGGCCCCTTCCCGTGTCTTTCGACGCCTCTCGGTCTCCTGATGGGGAACTGACAGTTTGTTTTCGAATCCCGCTAGAAGACTTAAAGAAATGTTCAAAAACGTGTTTTTTCCAGTTCTGGCACGGTGATCTTAGCGATAATGCCAGGAATTAAACCAACGCCTCCTAAATCGATGTAGGTGGCGTTGATTAAATATCAGAACCCAAAAGTATTGTTTGCTTCATATGCCATAATTTTCTTTCCCGACGTTGGCAACGCTGATGTTGACATGTGACACTGAAGTGAACAATTCAATTACCAAGTAAATCGCTCTGCAGTTTGATATCAATTTAGAGCCGAAATGTCGAATTTAAAAAAAATAAATTTGCGAATACCTACGTACAGTATTGCCTCGGAACATATTGAACTTGAAAAATTTCAAGTGAATATGGAGAAAACAAAACTGTGAGTAATGCTGGAGAATAAATAAACGTTATGTTCGACTTCGTACTTATACGTTCTTACATAAGTGTGCAAATATTGATTTTCAAATGAATGAGGTCCACAACTTATTCTTCTTCAAATTAACTAACATGTTATTCGTATAAACATACAAAACAGTCACCTTTTAATGTTATATTGGCATACAAAACGATTAATCTTATTAAAAATTAATAAGTGAACATAAATTAGACTGAGTTTATAAAGTTTTAATCTCATAATATGGAAGTTTAAAGGAAATCAGGGTAGTAAGCAAATGTAAAAGATGTTGAGAGAGAATTTTCGGAACTTATTGGGAATGATCTGCATTTTGCATTTAGCATTCGTGCTAATGTAAATGTGCTATGTGCATTTTTGTGCATATTACCAAAAATAGCGTAAAAATGAAGCTGTACAAAAATTTAACTATTGGCATCAAAACCTGAAAGTATTATGTTATGGCAATTTAATTTTGAAATTGCAATAAGACCATGTTCATATCCTGTATGGAGGTAACATACAAGGCTATTGGGTCTTGGAAACTGTTGAATGGGAGTTTAGCATTATCAGGTACTACGTACGATTCATAAGTAGGTCCAATGCCAGATACTGAAAGAACATATTTAAGTAAAGCTGAACTTGAAAGAAATGAAGTATGAAATACATTTTAACACATGAAACTACTTTTAAAACAGTTTACAGCGTCCGCGATGCCACATTTTGCTGGTAATCAGTAACGTAACGAAATGAGTGCGGGCCCACCCGCAAAACTTTTATCCGGGCCTCATTTATAAAAGTGTACAGCAAACACAGTTAAAGTTAATACCTTATATAATAAAATTGTCCTTTAACAAATTCGAATCAGTTAATGATTACTACATATGAAATTTAGTGTTACAAACATATTATATTGATTTAGAAAAAGGGTTACATAAGCTACCGAAGCGCCAGAAATCTTTCTTATGGAAGGTTTAATTTTTTTATATCAACTATCGCAAAGTATCAGAGAAAGTATTAAATAATTAATATTTCTTACAATCGCAAAACCTTTAGCGTAAAAATAGGCCCTCATTAACCTGGTCCCGCCTGCATTGCAGGCTTTGCGGGCCCGAACGTTACAGCACTGCTGATAATTAGACATGTTTTTGTATCAGTGTCGTCAAATGTGGTATTTTATAAAGAAGTTTTGCTTGATTACGTCATGGGCTCTGTGTTTTACTTAAAATAGTATACAATTATAATTTTTTTTCTTTTAAGAATTAATTCGAATGTTATTTTCAAGTTTTGGTGAATTGGACATTATTTGTTTGTTACTGTGGTGTAAGCAAGTTTATCGTTTTCCATAATGAAAAAGATGGCAAGTAATTCGATATAATTGTGCCGTGTATGGTGGACGATGTGTATGGTGGTGCCGTTTATTGTGGTTATGGAAAATCCAATTTTTACGGGTAGGTTTGCTTTCAAGAGGCTTTTTCTTATTCGCCACTGGTACGCCACTCCAGTCTACCCAAAACTGGTTTTGTTCAATTTTCTAAAAGAAAAAACGATAAGAGCAAAAAAATCAGTATCGTTGTTTTTTTTAGAATTATGTTTGGTTCTTTTTGTTGGTAAAGGTCAATGCAAATTGTTGGGAGTTTTGTTATTAATGTACCTCTGTCCGTGTGGTTTCTGATACGCAGTGTAATGTATTATAATTTTTATGAATAATATCGGAAGTGAAAATTACATTAACAATATAGTAGTGTAGAGTAATGTACTGTATTCATACTGTGTTTAGAAAATCCCAGTTTGATGGGTAGTTTTCCTTGCAAGGGGGTTTTCGCTGATGGTGCTCTAGCCCGGACCTCCCGTAAGTGGTTTTGTTAGATTTTCGAAAAATCGGTAAGGGCACAAAAAACAGTGTTTGCGTAGTTTATTACATTGATATTTGGATGTGACTGTTGCAAAGGCCTATTCATATTTTTGAATAGTTTATGTTTATGAGGATTTATGAATTTGGAACCATTTTTGACAGTATTGTAATGAATTCTATTTTTTATGGGTTATATTAAAAGTGAAAAAATGCAAAACAATACTGTTGAATGTTTTGATTTATGGTCACTTTCGTGTCGAGAAAAACTGATTTTGCTGGATAGTTTTCAGTTCACGAGTCGTTTTTTTACACATTAATATCTCACCGATTCACGACTTCAACGGAATTTTTTAAAATTTCGTTGTTTTTTAATTTTAGAAAAACGGTACGAGCAAAAAACTAATTTATATATGTTTGAATATCACAATAAATACACAAAAATCTATAGATAGAGAAAATGTATTTTGTGAATTGACATTGCCACCTTAACATTAAGCCACCAATTTTTTGAAAATGGTTGGAGCAAAACTATTTTGCAAAAATATTTGAAAAGTACAAAAATAGCCCAAAATTGTGGCTATATAGAAAAAGTGTCTTGTGGAAATAGCTTTGCAGCTTAACTTTGGACGTGAATTTAACATGTGTGTTAGCTGGACACGTCAAGCCAACTTACACCGGTTTTCGCCTCGTAGCAATTAATTCGCAATTGTTGCAATTAATCAGCAATTAATCAGCCATTAATCATTTTAGTGTTTCCGTCGAGCTATGATCCGAATTTAACTAATGTGTGTGCTGGCTTCACGCGTGAAGCCAGCTCATACCCATTCTCACCCCGGGAACACGTGGCAATTAATTGAAAATTGTGGTAATTAATTAGCAATAAATCATTTGAGAGTTTCCGTCGAGCTACGATGCGAATTAAACATGTGTGTGTGGTCGTATGGTGTGTTTGTTGGGTCGCGTCAAGCTAGCTCACACTCGTTTCCGCCACGAAAATACGTGTTAATTATTTCGGAATTGTGGGAATTAGCAAAAAATCACTTAACAACTTTCTTTCGGGTGTGCTGACGTGGCTGTTCCAGTTTGACACATTCACTGCGCATTCACTGTGTCGTGAAATGAACCGGTCGGTGAACGATTGCCGGCAGTGGTGAATATTGTGCTCATCAGGGCCGGTTCACTCAATGTTAAAAGGCGGGGGACTAAGTTTGTTTCCTCACTCACCCGGACATAATATTATCTAACAGGATTTATTGTTCAGATGTTTTCATTTTTTTTGGCAATTCAAATTTGGCTACATTTAATTAAAAAATCATCTATAACTATATTAAACCTTTCTTAAGCACTGAAGTATGTCCGAGTAAATAATCCAAAAAAGTTATATATACCTATCTTAATATTTTTAAAATAAACGTTAGTATTTAGGTTATTATTTATTTCACCACCAGTTTTTTTATTACACATTCGAAACCGAAAGTTTTTTAATTGTTCACATTCAATGTTTTGAATTATTTATTTAATAATATTTCCCAGTCTTTGTAGGAAAGTTTTTCTAAACAAAACGGCAATTATTATTCGAAATATATATGCTGAAATAATATATTTGTCTATAATATCGAGACTAGCAGCACTTGCAGCATTGCAAGGGAAAAAAGATTTCACTGGCACCACCTTTGTAATAAGATTTCTTTAAATGAGTTCTTGAGAAGACAACAGGCTGGGCTTGTAGGCAAACATGTTATACAATTCCATCTTTCTAATGTTAGTGAAGTCGAATTCGTTTGTATCTTGCCATTATCCATACTGCAACTCGAAGATCACCCCAGAATGGAAAACGTAACTCGTACCCTAAAGCAAATAAAATTTAATTACATTTTCATCATTACATTAATGAGAGTGGTACCTATTCTAGAAATGCAAAAACATATAATGAAAATAGGTAATATTTGAAAATTAGTCATTTTGAATACCAGGGCTATGCAAACAATGAATATATGGGATATATTCAATGAACATATTACAAAAACGTGGTCCAATACCCATACGAAAATAATAACTACAATACTTTTAAACCAAATAGAACCCAGAATAAATTGACATGTACCAGGTTAAGTATACTACATGATTCGGATTTTAAGACTATTTTGCATAGGTAAAATGTTCAACAATATTAAATAATCAAGTACAATTATGCAAAACAAGATTCCAAAATGAATTATAAATACCTCACTGCCTGTAGGTGAAATCCTAGCAATGTTAAACTCTGTCTCGCACCAGTTTTCTTAATATTCATCTGCCAAAATACTTGAAACAAAGTTTTAGACATCACAAATTTAAATATCGCGACATTAATTCACTGTACTTACAATGCCCACGGACATTCTACATACTAACAAAACGCTGAAAAAAGTTCCGATTAAAAAATTGATGCATCGGACCTGCTGCAGCCTGCACGTAACGAAAACAAACACGCCTACATTGTTGCCAGCTTTTTGAATTGCATGACGGTCACACGTTTGTTCGGCCCTCACGTCGC